GTTGAAAATGGCAACAAATTAATAAAAATTTAAAATATTAATGTTCTACGTTCATTTCTGAATATTGAATATATTGAGATTTAATATATTTGAGATTTTTAGTGTGGTGAATTTTTGTACATTTTTGAAAATAAAAAACTCTTACTGAAATCGTAGAGCACAGAATTCTTATCATGATTTTTAGTTTAGTATGTCTTTGGTTTTTATATAATGACACCCCTTTGTGATTTTTAAATAATTTTTTTAATTCATTTAAAAATCTTGGGCCTCTTCCCCATTCCAAGGATTTATTTGCATTATCTTCAATACCCAACTAATTCCCTGGCATGTTGCTGTATGCCAAAAACTCCATCACACACATTCATACACACAAAATTCCATACTGGTTATTGTCAAAATAAAAAAACCGACAACCACCAAAATAAGCTGTGGACCAACAATAACAACAAAACGAAAAAAAAAACTTCAAAATGTTTGGCATTTTTTAGCGAAAAAAAAATGGCAAACATATTTTTTTTATTATAACTGGTGCTGGCAATATTTGTTGTTGGTTTTGGTGTGGCGACTTTAAGCACTTTTATGCTGCCAAACAAGGGAAACTTGGTTTTTGTTTTTGGTCTCAAAATCAAAGAGCAGACAGCGCAACATAATGCACTTTTAATGTGTTGTCCAAAAAAAGTTATAACCAAATGTAATCAGAAGAAAAAAACAACAACAAACTATGTTGTAAAAAAGGCAAAACTCACCCAACGACCAAGCGACCGACCGGTTGGCTAAAGGACAGACATGAAATGGCCCATACCAAAAAAAAAAAAACAAAAATGAATGGTGTGTGCTGGGATGTGGTATGATGTTGGTGGTATTGATGATTAGTTGCGGTATTGTGGAGCTGGTGTAAGCCATGAGCAAGCTTCTAAAGAGATGGCTGGTTGGATGTTTGCTTGGCTGGCTGGCTTGACGACGACTCTGATGATAAAGTGAAAGTTCATACGAAAGTGTATTTGTTGTTTGTGTCTTTCTTTTATTTATTTTTTTATTATTGACAGAGAAAATAATTGTACACAACAAAGCAACATTCACATGTTTGTTTGATGTACATGCAAACATACATTCAAACATATGTATGTCTGTCTGTTTGTATCACTTACATATCACTCTCCCATCCATATGGGGACAGGCAGGCAGCCAGCAGGTATGGCTTTGATTTGATTACAAAGCTAAACAACATCTTCAACTTGCAGCTTCCAGTAATAAGCCGCTAGCCACTGGTGTGGTGTGTGTTATCTGATATAGCTCCACTCTACCTGTTGAGACATTACAAACTAAAAAAATATATTTCAACCCTAGCTGGTGTAAATCGGTTTATGCGTATCTCTCAGGTGTGTGTGTTGTAAACAGTTTTTTTCTGTGGTTAACAATGGCTTTAAGGTGCGTCGTCGTCATTTGTCTCTAGCTTTTTTGATATTTCCCACGTTCTGTGTCAAGCATTAGATTGCTTGTCTGTCTTTTTTCTAATTTGGTGGGGAATATAGCTGTTCCCCACACTTCATTGCCTGAATGCGAGGAATGGAATGCTCTGTCATAAAAAAACAAATTGCAAAATATGTTTTTTCAAGAATGTTTTATATTTTTTTCATTTGGAACAAAGAAGTCTAAAAAAATATGTATTCAAATATTTTTTTGAAATATTTGCATCATAATTTTGTGTGTGTGTGGTTTGTCAAAGTATGTTTTTATTTTTTGTGTGGGGAGTTGTGAATTCGTCAGGGTTATTTTTTTCTGAAAAAGAATGGAAAGAAATAATTAAATTGTGTTTCTCCCCAGTTTAGCTTATTTCAAACATGTGCTGTGTTATATTCTTCAGATACACCCACATTTTGCTTGGTTATTTAAGTGATGTTGCAATCTTTGGTTATGGAGAACTCCTAATTTTTGTTAGTAATCAATGCTGAGAGAATTGCTTAAGAATGACTTCATTTTTTTTTAAATTCTTAGTACATGTTTTGAAGGTTTATTATTTTAAAAATAATATTTCTGCATTTTTGCTACAGAAAAATTGTTGAATTCAACCTCAGATTGAATTTAAAAGTAAAAAAATTAAAATCTTTTTCAAAAATTAAACATATTTTTAATAAAAATTTTCATAAAGAGCTATCTATAATGATTAATTATTACTTTTAAAAACTATTTTTTAAATCAATTATCACAAAATAGATTTTCGTTGATTTTTTTTAAAGAATGAAATTTGGTTAAAAAGTATGTGTCTTAAGTCTTTTGATTAGCTTAGATTGGATTAAGATATATTTGGCATTTTTTAATAAATTGTTTTTCTATCATTAAAGGCGAGTATTTTAAAATTACATTTAATGAGTTTTGTTCCACAAACTTTGAATTTTGCTTTTGAGTAATTTTAATGTATTTTATCCAGCTTACATTTTCAAGTATATCATCTTTCAGAGATAACCCTCTACCATAACATTTGAATTCAATTTCAAGGTTTTGCTATCACATCCATCGCTTTGAAGAAATATTTAATTTTTTAATTTTTTTCTGAGTCATCAGATTTTTTACTTGAACAGGTGGTTGGTAGTATTTCATCAGAATTCATTCAAAATGGCATTTAAGATGACAAATTGAAGGGATGTTTACATCAACTTTTTTTTTTTTATAAATTTCATGGAAAATCTATTAAAACAAAAAAGATAAAGCCTTTTGTTCCTATAATAAAAACTTCAAAACAAAGGTTTTTTCCAACTAAATAAATTATATTCAATGAGTGAAGAAAATTATTCAATATTGTAGAAATTTTGTCTTATTTATTTTTGAAAACAATTTTTTTAAATATACATTTTTTTTTTGATTCTACAAAAATAATTTTTTTTTATTTTTTTTTGCTTGAATTTTCATAAATAATAATATTTCAAAATTTAATATGAAAAAAAATCAAGATTTCACAAACTACTTTTATTTCAACATACGAAAAATTTTTTTTTAAATATTATTCAATATAAGAAATTTAGTTTTATTTTTTATTAAACTCTGACGAATACATTTCACGAAAATGGACCTTTTGAAATTTTTTTTAAATATAAATTTTTTTGATTCTACAAAATTATTTTTTTTACTTGAATTTTCTTAAATAATATTTCAAAATTTTTTATTTCAAAATAATAATATGAAAAAAAATCTAGATTTCACAAACTACTTTTTTTAAACAAATATGTGTCTTAAGTCTTTTGTTTATAGAGAATTTTATTGCACTCAGCTGCGCCCAGCATGCAGTTTTGTAAATGATCACAATTTTTAATTAAACCCCACCTATTTTTATCTGGGTAATATTTGAAAACGGGCCTTTTAAAATTAAAATAAATCATCTTGCCCCTTAGCATTATATTATAATCAAGAATGTGTTTTAAGTCTTTTCTTATTTGTTATTTGAGAGCAGAATATGTAAAATAAAGTATGTGTCTTGAGTCTTTAATATCTAGAGAGAGAGAGAGAGAATGACTAATCAGTTGCCTCTCTTCAAAATAATGAGAGGCCAGTAGATCACATTTATACTATCTCAGAGTATTCATAATGGAATGAACGTTCGTTTCTTAAGTCTTTTGTTTTGAGAACGTATAAGCTATCCACTACTAACTAATAAACTATTACCAAAAATTGAAAAGACTGAAATGTTCATAGCTCGAAGAGAGGTGAGAAGAGAATCCCTCTTCTAAGCATGGCGGCAGAAATGTTGGTATACAATTTACATTTCCTTAGGAGAGATAAGTCCAGAGGAGCCTATTTTGCGAAGAGTGATTTTTGATAAAGGGGTATTTTAATAGGAGTATCTTTTGTGAAGAGAATCTAACAGAGATGAATTTTCTCTGTGTGTGTGGAGTACTTGAATGAATTTGCATGTGTGTGGAGTACTTACATGAGAGGAGCGTTTTTTGTGAAGAGTAATTTTTGATAGAAGGACATTTTAATAGGAGCATTTTTTGTGAAGAGTATCCAACAGAGATGCATTTTGTCATAAAATATTTTTAATCTTCCGAGAGAGCTACTGTGTGTGTGGATTTATGATATGTTGAGGTTTTAAAGGAGGCTATGAATGGAGAGTATTTTTAATAATATTTAGGTTTAATAATTATATAAAATTTGTACCATTTTTATTATTTTGAAAATTATATTTTTTCCCAAAGTTATATAAAAGTAATGTTGAGGAAAGGCTTTCAAATTAATTTATTTTGCTTTTAGTTTTTTTTAGTCTTTTATATTTCCGTCGATATTTTTCCTCTTCAATATATATGAACAATTCTCTCTAAAGCCTCATCATAGGGTTAACAAATTACAATAGGTTTTTTTGTTTACGTTTTGGTTGGTTATCAAAACATGCAACGCATTATTTCTTATGAATTGCCTTAGAATTATTTTTTCATCGCTATTTTTATTGTTTGTTGTTGAAATTCAATACCTTAGAAAAAAACTTTAAAAAATTCTAGCAATGTGTAAAATTATTGACAAAACAAAGGGAACCTAAAGTGATGATGCTCGCTGATTGTTGTTTGTAATGTATCTAAGCGACATAGGCAAAACAACAAAAACAAATCATAACTAACTGTTCATTTAGCCTTCGCATTTGACTAAGTTTTACATGGGGACAGACAGATATAGCAAGCAAGCATGCATGCTATCTATGTGTGTAAAAATATTGAATTACATTCCTGAAATATTTTTTTGTGTGAATTTGATTTTTTTATTAATGAAATGAATAGATTGCTTATAGAAAAAATTGTGTGTGAGATTGGTTTGTTTATATATATATATATATATATTTTTTTTTTTTTGTATTCTTTTATTATTTTCGTAAATTTTTATTAATTTATTTTTTCTATTTTTTTTTTTCTTTACAGTTATATTATAATTAGTGTTTGCAAACTACAAACAAAAATAACAACAATAATAATAAAATAAAGGTTTCATTACACAAAAATTCTGAAGGGAGCTGCTGCGATCATGGGGAGCTTGACGGCGGCCAGTTTACAATGGCTGTCCGCTATCATTTGTTTGTTATTGTTAAGCTGTTGTAGTGTTCGGGCAGCCGATGATGTATTTTCATGTCCAAATGGTAAGTGCGACTTTGCAAATATTTATTCTTCATTTAACTATCAAAGATGAGCCAGCTTTGGCCCTTGGCATTTTGAATGGAATTTGTAAAATGTCTATCTCGATTTGTTGTTTTTTTTCATCACGCTTGACCAAGCTGCTATTTCTTACAACATAAAGTGCAATAAACAAAATTTACAACAAATCACTGTCCGTTGAGTCTCTATGCCTCTGTGTGTGTATTGGTGTATATATGCGTGTGTGAGTGTGCTCAATGTCCGCATGCAGGTGTAATATATGATAATCACCTGCATTTTATGCACCCCATTATCTGCCGTTGTGTTAAAAAGCGGTGGGCTTAAGCAATTTGTTTGTTTTTTATTTCGATTTGGTATTTATTTTTTCTTTATTTCTTTCGATTGTTTTTAAAAAAGAGTCGAAAGAAAGAAATAATTGATTTTCCATGGGTGCATTTGTCAGGTGTGTGAGTCCAATTTTTTTGTTATTTAAATTTTACATGCCTGTGACACAATGTGAAACAGAAAAAAACTGTAACGTTATTTTTTGTAACAGTGATTGCAAAAGTTTTTTCGTTTTTTTTTTATTATTTTTTACTTCATGGAGTATTACAACGGAATATTAACAATGGAGTTTTTCATATACATATGTATGTGGTTTATGTGTGTGCCACATAAATCGTGTGGCCCAATTATAAAGAAATATTTTTGAAAAGTAAAACAAAATGCAATGCAGAAACTGGTTTGGAATTTTAATAATGCACATGCTTGCATTATTGGCAATTTACATTGGTTTTTAATACTCAATAAAAATTCCAATAAAAAATTGAAAACCTGGTCTTCAGATTCCCTTAAAATTTTAATGCTATAAATTCCACAGATTCTAAGATCACACTTCATATTTTCTTAGATAATTATGTAGTCTAAATTATTTTTTTTTCATTTTGGCCTACAAAAAACTCCACCAACAACTTTCACAATGCTATAGTAGGAAATATCATGATCTGATCACATATTCTTGACATTGAAAATTACAACTTTTGCAATGCTATTGCAAAATATTGTTATTTCATTCAACCATTAAAATTTGTCCTCGTCAGAACGTGTTTCTCTTCTATATTTTTTGCTTGCCTAGCATGAAATATAATTCATCTATAATTACCGTAATAATATCGGGAAATTATTTAATATAATGAGCATGAACAGAAGAAGAAGAAACTCTATAACTTTACAAAAAAAGTAACTAGTAGCTGCTATGAAACTAGTTAGGCACAAAGAAACTGCATTTGTCAGATAATTCACAGAGTGAGAGAGAGAGAATAAAATGTGCAACAAATAACCAACTGACTGGGTGGTTTTCCTTACCCCCTCGCGGCTGTTAACAACTATACGACTGGCTTTGTTTGGCTATAAGTAATTCTTTTGATATCTATCTGTTGTACGAGAACAACACACGTTTTTTTTCTTAACGCCAACATCTATGCCTAAAGTATATATATTTGGTTTTTTTATTCATTTTCATTGTATACTGCGAATGTACAACTAACAACAAGTGTTGCAAATGCTTAGCATGAAATGAAAGAAAACCGTTACAAAGAAAAACACCAACTACGAGTTATTGTTGTTGTTCCAGTGGTGGTGGCTTAGTTTTGTAGTTAGAATTTGCAAAAAAAATTAAACAAAAAATAAACACTACGTTAGTAAGTCAAGAAATATAACATTATAATGCATATAGTAAATGCTAAGAGAGTGGATTTCGGGAACAGAGAGATGAGAGACTTATATCCTTAATAATTCATCAAAATATTAGGTTGGGGAAAAAGAAATCCATTATGAAAATATCGATAAAATCGAAGAAATTATCGAAGTTTAACGGCATGTTAGCAGTCGCAAAATCACCCAGAAGCTAAAAATTGACCCATTTTAAACCATTTACACAAAACTGGATTCAAAAAGAAGCTCGATGTTTGGGTGCCACACCAATTAACAGAAAAAATAGAATGGATCGAATTTCCATCTGCAAAGACTTGGCCAAACGGAATGAGATAGACCCATTTCTTGAACGGGTGGTGACTATAGATGAGAAATGGATCACATCCGTTAATCCTGTGCGAAAACGATTCTGGTCAAAGAGCGGTGAAGTACCTCAAACGGTGACCAAACGATGGCCAAACGCTAAATTCTGTTCTCTACTGTCAACAACTGGACCGTTTGGAGATACAATTGACCTGAAACGGTCAGAATTGGTCAACAGGTGTTCCACCAGAACAACAATAGAGAGCAGGACTTCTTTGAGAGAGGCATTATGAAGTTAACTTTAAAATTGTAACAAATCATACAACATAACGGTGCATATTTGGCCCAAATCGGACATATTTTTTTAAAATAAACCACGCAATGCGTAGACTTTCAAAATAAATTTTAAAATATTAATACATTTTCAATGACATTTGAAAAAATAAATGCCTTCCTTTAATATTTTGTGATATTTGAACCCTATTAACCGATCAACAGCTTCTCTTCCGTACCCTGACAATTTTTCAAATTTTGTTTTCCCTGGGTGAACATTTACCACATAACATAATTTTTTTTTTTTAATTTTACGCAGAAACGTCTTGTTAGATTTTATTTGATCTTGGCTGATTTTTCTCGCTAAATATAGACCGATCATTATCAAAACAACCCGTCTAATTATTCTAATAAATTGGTCAGATTTCCTTCCTCATGAAAATGTGAGATTTTCGGCTAATAATTATGTTGTCTAGAGCGACTAGAAAACCAAACAAAAAAGGCTTCGGTCCATTTTATCCCCTAAATATCATTTGGTCACTGGTGAAAATTATAGGCATCGACCTTCTCCTAGCCATCAACGCCCTCTTGTGTCCTCTAGTGTGGTAATGCTAGTATTAAAGAATATCAAAATAGGTAGATCCCTGTAATTATTTACGCATAACTCCCATTTTCGATTGCATACACCAATATAATCGGTATCAATTGGATATACTATCAACTCATCTTGGATATACTATCAACTTCTCAGGTCTATGTACTTCAGGATTAAGTATATATGTCATAGAATACAAATTTTGTCATTTTTCTCACAATTTGGCCAGCATAAAATTAACCGATTGTCATGACCTTCCTTGTTCAAACTCATTTCTCTCTGTAAAATTTCGTAAAGTTCGGGACATAATTGTGGCTTCTAAAGCGTCAAAAAAAACTTCCATTTCATCCGCTAAATATTAACCGATCATTGCCAAAATTGGGGTCTTCTTTGGTCAGAACCTACATGCAAAATTTCGTGACGATTGGTCCATAACTGTGACCTGTGTCGTGTTTATAAATTATCTACGAACCGATATACATGTCTAGATCAATCAGCTTGTAAAAAATATATATCGGTATACTTAAAGGAGGGTCTAGAACCAACTCTTGGGGCTTCACAATGATATAATACCCTGACAACGTAATTGTGTAGGGTATAAAAAGCCAGCAATTTTCTTTTTTGCGTTGTAGCTCTATTGGTCCATGAATAGTCTTCAAATATGCATCCCATTAAAGTAAAGATCAATGTTCATTTTTCTACGAGTCTACAGGTTAATTGAGTATATTAAAAAAAAATCCCAGATCATACTTTTAGTTGTCGATGAAAAACAAATATTTTTTGTTATGCCATGTACAGACGAGCGTTGTTCGCTCTCTCATTCGTTGTTCGACCCTTAATTATGAAGTAATTACTTAGTTCCCCATACAAAATTGTCTGAGCGAACACCGACTTTTGTACGTAGTTCAATTCGAATCACTCTCTGAATAAACAATAAATTTGTCCCATCCCTAACAATTGAGAGTATTTATCGAAAATAAATTAATTTTGACATTTTGAAAATATTTATGAAATTTTCAAACTTTTTCAGTAAAATTGAAAATCATGAATGAAAAGTAAAAAATTGTAGAGTTTTTATATATGCAGCAGGATGTAAATTTTGTTTTCTACATAATGCAATATGCATTTCTTTTCCCTTGGTTCTAATTAGCGTACAAAACAAGAAACAAATGTGGGGAAACTCAAACAAAAAATTCTCCAAATTTTTATATGTGACAGTATGTGACATTTGAATTGAGAAAATATAAAAATGTATTAAGAACAACAACATTTTCAGAAAAAATGGAAAACATGAATGAAAAGTAAATATATATGGGTTCATACTATAGTCAGGAGAAAGAGAATTATTTTTTCTATTTAGATTCCTATGTAATTCACTAAAATATGTTACATTTTTGGTGTAAAACAAGAAACAAAAAGTTTGAAATAAAAACATCTGATGACATGAATTATGAATAGTGTTGTATGGACGGGTTAATTCATGTACGTAATTCTGAGAGCGAACTACGTTGTTCGAATGCCCGTCAGAACATGGCATTACATAGCAAATCATATATTTTGTAATAACTTATATTAATTTGAAAAAAAAGATTGAATATCATTTTTCAATATCAAGGTGAATGAAAACCAAAAATATAATCAATTTGCATTAATACAGAGGTGTTTCTACAACACATTACCCTCTAATCGCGGAGATTAGCCGCCAAATATTCACATATTTCTATCATCCACACACATCCGCATGTATAAATATGAAAATTTTATGGGACCGTAAAAATTCATAACTCTGCGCATGTGATTAATTCAATTCGCGTGTTTTTTTTTCATTTCAAAAAATAATAATTATGCATAAATACCACCAGACAACATGTATATGATTTTTTTTTAATTTTGAAATGAAACTTGTTTCTTTGTGACAAGCGTACAAGACTAAATGGCTGATGGCGGTAGTGATGAAGATTACGATTATAATGATGATAAAAATAATAACGTTGACGTTGGCCCATAAAAATCATAAAGTTTTTTTGGTTTATATTTTTGGGGGGAATTGATGTTAATTAACAGCTACATTAAAAAATAAAATGTTACTATTTTTAGGGGAGATGACGGCTGAGAGATTTT